TTTATCATCACAACTATAAACATTAATAGATAAGTTATTAATTTTTTCAAATTTTTTTATTTGGTTAATGGGAGTAGGGTAATCAATACAATTAAAATTAAGTCCACTTTTTTTTTCTAAAAAATTAAAATATTTAATACTAAAATTATTTTTATTTTTTCTTTCATTAAATTTTGTTAAAATTGCATATTTAAAACATCTGCTATCGTAATTCATGACGTTTCCCAGAAAACATTAAAACATTTAAATATTAATTGTCAAATATTTGCTAGTTTTTTTTAAAAATTGTACATTATTTCTATAAAACTTTATTTACATTTGCAAATATCAACCAAATGTTTGATAAATGTCATTTGAACCAGATCATATTATTCAATAAAAATTGAACACAAACTTTGGCCAAATATCAGTCAAAAATTGTACAATATTTTAAAATTAATTGCCCAGAAAATGTTCCAACATTTAAATATTATTTGTCAAATATTTGCTAATTTTTTTAATGATTGTACAATATTCCTATAAAATTGTATTTACACTTGCAAACATCAATTAAATGTTTGACAAACTTCATTATGTGCTTCAAAAATTATGTTTTCAATTAAGAACAAACTTTTGCCAAATATTTGTCAACAAATGTACTATACTTACAAAATCATTGTTCATGATCAGTATTTATATATACTTGGAGTATATTAATATATTTTTCAAAAACCAAATGATATTAAATATATTTATAAATTTCATAACAAACATAAGCAATAATGCTTTGGTGTAGGATTTACAGAAAATATTATTATTTCTTTTAGGTTAATTGATTTTAAACTTTAATATGATTCATTTCATTAATATATCATTAGAATGATAAAGTTATTTTATAAAAAAAACACAATTTTTTAAATAAATAAACAAATTGAATTACATATAATTAATATCATAAATAATTAAATATATTGTAAATGTATATATTTATGTAGGTATTAATATTAATATCATAAATAATTAAATATATTGTAAATGTATATATTTATGTAGGTATTAATATTAATATTATACATAGTTCTGAATTAAAAATTAATAGCTTTACTTAATTTAATCATATATATTTACTTTAATCAAAATACTATAGTGTCTTACATGGAAAATAAGGATAATAGGTGTAATTATCCAGTAGACTGCATGGACTATGGTAAATATGTTTGATAATTAAATAATAAAAGTACCACAGCATAGGTTATATTGTATATTTTATGCATTAAAATATTATTATCATAATAAACTTTATTTAAAAAAAACCTAGTTAAAACTATTAATATTTAATTGAAAGTTAAAAATTGTAAGCTAAAATATAAAGTTAAGACATAGATTAATTTGTGTTATTTATATCACATGTTAATCTATTCTTTAGTTTTCTGTTCTTAGCGTATTCTCCGCGGAAAGGAGCTTGAGAAATCCACTGTTTTAAATATTGTTCAATTTCATTGTCTGTTATATTGAAGAACCGTTTATCTTTTCTGACTGTTTCTGAGAAAAAAAAAACAATATTATAAAAATAATAAATACAATTTTGAAGTGTTGGTTAATGGTTATACATAAATAAATTTATGTAATTACATAATTAACATAATTATGTTTTGCATAACATACCAAATATAACTCTGTTCACCATAAGATTATTAAATGGTTTTTCCTTTGAAACCAGTATATGAGTATTGATTTAGAATAGCATCTGAAAATATGGTTGCCATGATTTTTTTTATTATTTCTTTAGCAGTCTTTCCTCCAATTCTACCCAGCTGTAAAATCTGTTAACATAAACCAAAATTATTTATTGAAACTATTTAGTTATATTTTATTATTAGACTGTGTACTGTTTCTTTAAAACCTTACAAGTTTGTTTTTAAAATCTCTGTCACCAAGCTTATTCTCTATCTCCTCAAGCTCTTCAAATGAAGAAATAGGCCAACAATATGGTTCAAAATCATCTGAATGCTCAGTAGCAATTATATTGGCAGTGTTGATTAATTTTTTTATTTCTTCTTGTCCTTGAGCTAAATTTTGAAATTCTGTATTGCTAAAAGCCATAAAGTTGTACATTCGTTTGTAAAAATAATCCATTTTTGAAAAAACTTGATCAGCTACAATAATTTGAAAAAGAAGTATCAATAATATTGTTTTAATTATTATGCGAACTAGACATACCAAATTCTGAGATATTAATATTAGCAGTATTATTCATTGAATTTTGCATATGTTGAGAATTTTTTTCTTTTAATTTATCCACACCATCTGTAAGTGTGATATTAATTAGTTATTGGGATCGAAAACCAATTTTCTCTAACACACCTGCTACCAACAACATAATAATTATGTTAAATATGTTCTATTTTCAACTTGGTAGATCCAGTGAAACAATAAGAACCCAAAGCCAACTCGAGATTGCCTCACATTTTTGATATTGTGATTTAGTCAACAGTTGAAATATAATCTTTTTTAATGAATTTTTAGTATTTAAGAGGATAAAATTAAAATCAAAAATGTAGAAGTAAACTAATCGAAATATGTTTTCAAAAGTCTTATTGATTTACTATAGGTTAATCCAGTATGATGGAAATATACCATATCTATAATGTCATATGTGGCATGTGCGTTAGAAAAAGATAGATTTGAATTCAAATCCCCATAGTATTTAAATTAATTAATACTACAAGGGAATTATGGATAAGGTATTAATTAAAAATAATTTTAACAAAAATAAGCTTACAGCTTGAATTATTTTCTTCAGAAACTATTTTTTCACTAGAATTTGCCAGTAGTTCAGTCGGTAGGCTTAGATAAGATTTATATCTACTATTACGTTGATCTATGTTTTCAGAAATGTCTATAGAAGTCATCGATAGTGGCTTATTCTTGTATTTATCTATTTTAGTTGATTCTTTTATAAGATCAAATTTAAAAACAAAATAAATATATTAATATAGGGTAACTTGTATAGTTATTGGCAGGGGTACAGTTATTGGCATACCAAACTTCTTTTATTAATAAATAATGCTGTGTTAGATTTTAAAGAGATTATTAATTTTTAAATTATTGGTCACACTGTCCTATTTATATTTGCGCCAAATGTTATTATTGTTCTGTGACTGATAAGATACAACATTTTATTCGAAAACCGTTGCTGAAGAAGACGTCAAAAAAGGTAAGATATTACTTAAAATCGTGATAGAGTACTGTTAAGAAATAAGCATTTACTCGTATATAAATGGTCGCAAACAGTAATGTTTTGTTGATTCTGAATCCTAAAAACATATACAGCTCGATTATATAATTTTAAATACTTTCATATTTTTCATTTAAATAAAATAATAGATGACAATAACTATATTGTATATTTCTATTTGGTTAGTTATTGGCATGGGGTGCCAATAATAGAATTTGTGTAATTTTTATATAATATAGTTATTGCCATCTATTATATTATTTAAATGAAAAATATTAATTAAATATTGGTACCTATAATATAGTTATTGCCATTTATTATATTATTTAAATGAAAAATATGAAAGCATTTGAAATTGTATAAAGCTTTCAAATAAATTGCCCTAATTTTTGTTTTTTCCCTTATAGTGTTCTTATTAATAAACACATAGGTAAGTACTTACCTAAAAAATTATGAAATTCTTAGATACATCAAATAGTGATCTATTAAGTTTTTATATTTGTAAAATAATATTAATATATATTTTTATTGCAATAAATATAATAAAATACTGTAGGTACTATACATATAGGTAGGTACCTAATTTTAATTTTCTAGATTTAGGTAGGTTTGTATTATTATGTTTCAATTATGTAATAGATATTTAATTTAATATACTTAACTACCTACCTTGTACCTACCTACCTATTAATCTATTAATGCTTAAATTTTGAACATAATTTACATATTAAAATGACTTTATTGGTAATAATGCTGTATTATACCATACCTATTTGGTTATTATATTATCCTATTCAATTTGTACATTTATTTTCTTATACTTTACATAATGTTAATTTTATGGTTAGAAAAATGCCAAAAAAGTCATCTACATTTTCTGAAGATAATATAGCATCTGCGATTCAAGCTGTTCATGATGGAATGTCTAAAAAAAAGGCCGCCAGCAAATTTGGAGTTGCTAGATCTACTATACAATTCCGTATGAAGAACCCTGACAAAACATTTAAATGTGGCTCAGCCCCTATTCTAACTGAAGCTGAAGAAAGTTTATTGGTTAAGTGGATTATTGAAAGTTGTAGAAAAGGATTTCCTAGGCGTAGAGAAGATGTTCAATATAGTGTTAAAAAGTATTTGGACAATAACAAAAGAACAACTCCTTTCAAAGAAAATTTACCTGGTAAATATTTTTATTGATTAACAATTGAAATTATGTTTATATTTTATATTATTTTTATTTAGGAGTTGGTTGGTATAAAGCATTTCTCCGTCGTAATCCTGTTATTTCTATTAGAACCAGTGAGCATGTATCTGCTGCCAGTGCTAATCTTAGTGAATTAGACATTAGGAAGTGGTTTACAGATATTCACCAATATTTAACTGATGAGAATTTGGATCATATTTTAAAAGACCCACACAGGATCTTTAATGGAGACGAATCAGGGTTTTCTTTGTGCCCCAAAACACAGTCTGTTCTTGGACCGAAAGGAGCCAAGGATGTTTATGAAGTTGCTACCGGTAATGCTAAAGAGAACTTAACGGTAATGTTTACATTCAATGCAGCTGGAGAAACATGTCATCCAATGGTAATATATAACTACAAAAGAATACCACAAAATATTATTGAATCTGTACCTGCTAATTGGGGTATTGGACGTTCAGATTCAGGATGGATGGTGTCTGATGTATTTTATGAATTTATTGCAAACGTGTTTCACCCATTTCTTATTCAAAGTGGTATAGAATTACCTGTAATATTATTTGTCGATGGTCATAAAAGCCATCTTACATATCATCTTAGTAACTTATGCAATAATTTAAAAATAATTTTAATTGCTCTTTACCCTAATGCAACCAGGATACTACAGCCAGCAGACGTAGCAGCGTTTAGACCACTAAAAGGTGGGTGGAAAAAGGGTGTATTCGAATGGCGCAATGAAAATCCTCACTGTGCAATTACTAAAAAAGATTTTGCCCCTATTTTAGATAAAGTGATAAATAAAACAATTATACCTGACATTTTAATGAATGGTTTTAAGGCATGCGGTCTTTTTCCGTGGAATCCAGACCAAATTGACTTTAGGAAATGTCTTGGGAAAAATAAACAATTAACTGTTACAGAAAAAAATATGGTTATTGACTCTATAGACTATAATAATTTAGAATATAATCAGTTTACTGAAATTGTTGGTTCTGAAATAATAGAAAAGTTTAATAACATTCAGAATGTTATTGAAAAAGAAAATCATGCTGAAGTGTTTTATATACTGTATAGGTTATATGAAAAATTAAAAAAAAGTACTAAAAATGATGATGTGGAAAAAAATGCAAGTGCTATATTCAATAACAGTGACTATATTTCTGAAGATATTGATGACTATCAAATTGAAAATATGGAAATCATAGAAAGGATTGAACCAAACAATATAACCGATAATGATGTACAAAATACAACTGACAACTATAATATTACTCCATCATCAAATAGAACTTTAGAAATTCAAGACAAAAATGAGCAACCTTGTACTATGATTAAGAAAATGAATCTGTCTCCTTTAGAAACTTGTTTAGTTTGGCCTATAACACCAGAGCGTAAGGGTAAACGTGACATAGAAAGGGTACCATATTTTGTTATAACATCCCAAAAGTGGAAACACTTGTACGAAGAAAAGGCAAATAAAAAAAAAAAACATTGAAGAGGAAAAAGAAAAAAAGAAAAAAAAGAAATATGATGATAAACAAAACAAACTCACTAATAAAGTGATTCAACAACCTTATTCACAAAATCGAAAACGACAAATTGTAAGAAATCTGTTTTTAGAACCATCAGTAAAAAAAAAACCAGTAGAAACAATTACGAGTCAATCTATAATATTTTCAACCGAAAAATCTAATGAGAGCAACGCCACTCGTATAAAAATACATGAAAATGATGATTCACCACTTTCATCAAAGACTACTGGTGAATGTTTTCAATGTAATGGAACTATAAGCAGTAGTGATTTATCTGATATAGGATTTGAGTGTACATTTTGTAATAATAAGTATCATAAGAGGTGTACTAACAAAGATAATGATTGGGAATTTCTTTATAATGATGATAATATACTATTTATTTGCTATATGTGTGAAAAAGAGGTAAACATGATTTAGACCATACTTTAGGTAGGTACCTATATTATACTTTTAATAATTTTAATTTTAAAGAGAGATTTTCCTCAAGGCTGATGACTATATTTTAATCACATTTTACTAAACTAGGTACCTATTTAATTTGTTTTTAACTGTAGAGAATTATTAAAAAATAACCTATTGTTATTATATTTTTATTTAATTGTTTTTTATTTACTAAGTATTGTCTTTATTGACTGATGACTAAAGGTTCTAGTCACATAATATTAATTTTACCTACAACCTACCAATTATGTTTGTTTTTAATTTAATTGTAATCTATTATTTTATTATTATTTTTATTTATATCTATTTAATTATAACAGTTCTTTTATTTCATTTATTTAGGTATATATTATATAACATACTATATATTTTAAATTTTATTGTAATGTATTATACATTTTTATTGTTTTTTATTTATTAAGTACTGTCTTTGATACTGATGGCTAAAAGTTCTAGTCGCATAATATTAATTTTACTTACAACTACCTATTATGTTTTTTATTAATTTAATTATATTTTAACAGTTGTCATTTGTTTTTATAAATAAATTTTGAACTGAAGAGTAAAGAGGAAATATCAATTGTTACCTATTATAAAATTAAACACCACTATTTTTTTTTGGTTTGAAATAGGCACTGGTGTTGAAACACCACTATATTATACCCATGTTTTGTCAATAAATATTTAAGAATTTACAGGTAGGTATGCATTTTATAAATTATACATATACATTATACCTAACTTTTTATTTATATAATCTTACCTATAGATTTCATGGATAAACAATTTATTAATTTGAAAAATGTACCTACCTAAGTACCTATGAACAATACAATTTAAAAACGGTGTGCCAATAACTGTGCCTGCCAATGCCAACTTTACATCCAATGGTGCCAATAACTATATTTTAGTGTTATTATTTTTAAATTTACAAATAAAAAAATTGTAGTCGAACACAGAATCATTTTTATTAAACATATCAATAGACAACAACATTTGCAATGTATTGATACTATTAGATAAGTTAAATCTTTGATTGGTAGCACATGGGACTGGGATAAAACTGAGATTTTTCTTAAGGTGCCAATAACTATACAAGTTACCCTATCTGTTAATATTTCAACAAAAACTTAAATATTAATACTTACTAGTTCTTTTTTGAGTACTGCTTGATATAGGCTTAGAAATAAATGATTGGGAATGATCTGAAGAGCAAAACAAGTCTAAAATATATATATTGATAAGAAAATAATAAATTTATACAAAATATTTTTTTAGCTAAAAGTTATTTAATGTCAATATGTAAAGTAATAGTACCTAATGAAGTATTTAAAGTTGGACAATCATCATCATCACTTGAATGTTTAGTAACTGGTGACATTGATTCAGGTGAGGAGATGACATTTGTATCGTACCTTTTTTTTTTCTTTCTTTTCTTGATAGCATGATTATGATCTTCAGATAATTCTGATATGAATTGTGCATCTTTAGATTTTGAACGAGCTTCAACCAAGGTTTCTAAAAAATATCACATACCAGTTAATAAGATCAAACAATATAGTTATCCACATATGTATTTACCAATATTTTCACCGCCCTTTAAAATCCTCGCAGCATAAAAATTAAATTCATAAGTGTTCACTTGACGTTGTTTTTCAATGTACATTTTGATTTTAGATCTATCTTTTGGCCAAGCACACTTTTTTAATTTATCATTGTACCATTCACTTGGTACAGCTTCTACTGAATTTTCTTGGAGAAAATGTACCACATTCCAGAACATTTTCTTATGTACCTTAATAAAGCTATTTAAATATTTACAATTATTTGTTTAAATTAACATCAAACATAAGTTAGGTTGTAATAATATATCCTTAACATTAAAATTAAATTTATTCCTATATAGGTATACACATATTAATTGATTAAAATATTGATGTTTATTTTATATTGCTAATAAGTCATGAATAATAACAAAAATAATAAAGATATAATTAAAATGATAATAAAAATAATTAATTATTTTTTCTTATGGTATGAAGTATAGGCATGGCCATTAGATCATAAGATATATTAAGTACCATATATTTACATTTTATACTCTCTGCTTCCCATTTTTTTAAACAAGTTGATAGATTGCTTATTTTAAAAATACCTAATTTAGAACTTGGTACAGGCTTTTCATAAGCATTGTACTTATCTAAAAAATAATTTCCAACGATCACAATTTTATTTTTAAAATCATAACAAATATTTACAACTTTTATTATAGATCCGTCTGCTGTACCAACATAACAGTCTGCTGAAGAAGTAGTGTTTATTATGATCTGACCAAAAACAAGTTTTTTAAATTGTGGTCCTAAGCAATCACCTGTTAATGGACCATTATTATGTTGTTTTAAGCATTTCATAAAAGGTTTATTTATAATTTGAGACGATTCATCAAACATACATTTGAAATTGTTTATTTCATTATATCGATTTACAGCCTGCTGCAAAGGTTGATGATGCTTACGAACAGTTTTTTTTAAAACTTTCATGTGGTTTTCAAATGGGAAAGCACTGCAATTGTCTAATGGCCCGAAAGTATCATAATCATCTGCTATATGTTGCAGAGTGTGGACATTGTGTGTTAACCATTGTATACCATATATTTCTTTATAACGTTTAACAAAATAATTTAATAATAATTTTGCATATGGGACATATTCCTCATGACAAGGGCTTAAAAGAATATACATAGCCACATGAAGACATAAAAAAAAAAAATGTTTATAACATTTAGAATTTGGATGATGTTTTAGAATAATCGGTCCAACATATAATACAAATTGTCTTAGTTCAGTTGCTTTCCACCTACCAACTTCAATTATAGCACGTGGTTTCCGTGGAAAATCTAGTGGTATACATGATTTTAATGAAAGTAAATAACTATTTATTACTTTGGTTTTGAAATTAGGTAAGCGAACAGTTAAAGGTCCCCGACTTAACCATAGTTTTATTAATGTACGGATCACTCCCAAACATACCAAATGCATATAATCAACAGAGAAACACTTGACTATATCTATACCAGGTAAATAGCAAAGATTAGACAATGTTTCAGAAGTATGATGTTCTTCTTGAAGTTTATTTACAAAATTTATATGAGTTCTTTTTTGACTATCTAATTCTGGAAATCTTACCCCCTTATTTTTTATATATTCACCCTCTGCCATACATCTAAAACATGAAAAATATCCACTGTGTCCCTTACAATATAAAACAAATGATTTAGCAGGGACATCACAGCAAAAACCATCTAATAAAACTTTTTTTTTAAATAAAATACCAAATGAATTTTTTAATATTATACCATCTGTTAATAATATATTCAATTCTGCACAAAAATCTTGCAAAAAATCATTACTATCATCTGGTTTAGAATTACCCCAAAATAATCCAACGGGGAAAACATATTTATCGTTTGGTCTAATATAACAAAGAATTGGCCAAAAAGTACTATTTGAACTCTTGGCAAGAGGTAATCCATCTATGCCAAAAACTAGTTTTATATCACTATCATCAATAGAGCTGATATATTTTTTATAATAATTATGTATGCCATTAGCAATCCCAAAATGATAGTAGAGACCTGGAGAAACTGATCTAATTTGAATCCCTCTATTAGAGTTAACTGTTTTAAATAAAGTTCTTGCATCAGACGGGAGAGATTTGGCAAAGCAATGATGAGTTTTTAAAACTTTTAAAAGTTTGGTATAAATGCAGTTTAGTTCCCACGCGATTTTTTTGATTTTTTTTCCACCAAAATATGTGTTTTAAAGCACTGAATACAAAAGTCTAATTCCAAAATCCTCGCAAATCATTATTTTGGAAGTTATATCTTACCAAAGTTTACGATTTTACGCATTTACGTATGCATGCGCGCGAAACGCTGTACATTTTGCTTTTCTACGTTTTCGTATTGGATTGTCGCCTATAATTAATTATTTTATTTTATTTTGTTATTATTAACATTATTATAATTTATAATTAATGACTTTCCAAAGGTTATAGAACTGATAATGTTTTATTTTCGTATTAAATATTACTGTTTGAGGATTGCTATGTTAGTGCCTACACGCATACTCCAGATCACTACAGTTTTTGTTACAGTTACGACAACATATCATTTTAAAATGTTATTTGTTAATTTTATTGAGTTGTATGATATATTTGAACATAAAACCAATGGCCCCGTCTCAATAAGTGTAATAGAAAAATTGCAATCGTGGAATTTGTTGGCCCGTGATTGTGTGTTAAAATGTAAAAATGGTCATTATTTAAAATTATACCCTGATGTGCGTTCTTTAGACGGGTTTGGTTGGAGATGTAGGGCACCTATAAATAAGCAAAAAAACAAATGCGACTATTATCAATCGATTCGCGTAGATACATTTTTTCATAAATCGCATTTGTCGTTATACCAAATTGTATCGTTTGCATATTTGTGGTTAGAAAATGTGTCATTGTCATTTATTGTAAAACAAATTAAAATTGCTCAACATACTGCTGTTGATTGGTCATCGTTTCATAGAGAAGTCGTCTTCGAGGCTATGATTACAAATCATAATAAGATAGGTAAGTTTAAAATAACCTATCTTAGAATTAAAAGTTAAATCATTTTCTTTTACACTATTAAAGTAATTAATTCATGTAATAGGTGGAGTTGGTCAAGTTGTCGAAATTGACGAGTCCAAATTTGGTCGAAGAAAATATAACCGCGGGCATCGCGTAGATGGACAATGGATTTTTGGTGGTGTTCAGCGAGAAACTGGGGATTGTTTTTTAATACCAGTAGAAAAGCGAGATAAAGATACCCTCCTAACAGCAATCAATGATTGGATCTTACCAGGGACTACAATTATCAGCGATTGTTGGAAGGTATAAATACCTTAATACATTTAGTTTTTACCCTGTGACCTACATGAGGGGGTTTTGCACAGCATGTCGGGGGATATTTTCGATTAGCGGAGCGGAGCGACGGCGCCGAGGAGCGTAGCGACGAGTGCCGCTAGCATAGCATCACTGACACACTTTATCAAATAATTGATATTTTAAATTGCATGTCTGAGCATTTCCCTCCTTAAGTGAATTATTAATTATTGCTAGTTTTTATAATTTTTTTTTATAATTTTTACGGTAGTCGCGATTACCGACAAGTTCCGCCGAGGGATATTGTGATATCTAGTTGTAATATTGTGTTAATTTGTTTAATTAGAGTTATCAATGTTTGGAAGATGAAGTATTTGTTCACTTAACGGTGAATCATTCTATTCAGTTCAAAAATCCGGAAACAGGAGCACACACAAATACTGTTGAGGGAATGTGGCGTCACGCAAAGGCTTCGCTTTCTCAATATTCTCGCAAAAAACGGTTTTATGGTGGATATTTAGCTAAGTTTATGTTCCTGAAAAGGTGTCGTATATTAAATATTGAACCTCTGACGGAATTTTTTAAACTTGCTGGTGAGCTCTATGATCCAAAAGCGATACAAGAAAATAATTTATTGGTAAGTGATGATGAAGCGTCTTCTGAAACGGATGAAAATGACGAAGATTTATAATGTAATATTGAAAAAATTAAAAAAAATTAAAAAACCTTTTTGATTTCAAATTTTTGAATTTTTAAACATCAAGTACGATATTTAAAATCTTTATGCATATTTCCATTCATCATAAACACATACAATTTTAAAAAAAAAAATCAAAATGTAGTTTTGTTGATGTTTTTATCGTAAATATCACGTATTTTTTAAAACATTACTATTTTATAGTTTTCTTGGTATAACTTCCAAAATAATGATTTGCGATAATTTTGGAATTAGACTTTTGTATTCAGTGCTTTAAAACACATATTTTGGTGGAAAAAAAATCAAAAAAATCGCGTGGGAACTAAACTGCATTTGTTCCAAATACTGTAATAAGCAGTACATAAAAAGAACAGTCAATAATTGTCAAAATACATCGTGAATTGTGACAATCGTGAAACAATAAAACCGCACAACACCATAGAGGCATAGAATAAAAACGTGTATAAAATGCAATATTTTGAAAAATAACACGCATAACCTAGAATAGTCTAGACGGCATCATGACAATCCGTTTTCATTGAGTATTTTTATCGTTTCGATTTTTGAGAATTCGACAGTATCTGCTATCCGATGATTGGAGAACTTATTATGGGTGAAGCGTACTTTCCATAGACCTATTAACTCATGGACGGCGCTTTCCTCACCTCCCGTCCACAGTGGCGTGGCGAACTACTTTTTGACCAGGGGCCAAATACAGAATACCAACCCACCCACCCACCCACCTCAAATTAATATTTACACCTAAATTCGAATGCCAAGGGTGATTTTATATTATATATAAAAAAAACATTTTTATACGTCATGTACAGTATTAAAATATAACAGTAATGTTTAAAATTTAATATAATATATTACATTTATCCATATATAAAATGTTTGACAAATAATATTTAATTATTTAAAAAGTAATGACTTCTTCATTAAATCACTTGTTAATGCTAACTTATCTATTGCTTCATCAATGTTAATAGAATTGGTCAAATCTTTTTCACATGATATCAAAATAAGACTTTCTAACCTACTTTGTGCCATTGTTGACCGGAGTCTAGTTTTAATAAGTTTGAGTTTTGAAAATGACCGTTCACAAGAAACGGAAGTTGTTGGAATGGTACACATATGTTTATATACAAGGTATAAATTCGGGAAAGCTGTAATTAAGTCAAATGAATTAAGTAGTTGGAGCAATTGGAGTGGTGTTGTTTTCTTAGAACGGTTTATGTTGGTGTCTTGACTTTCATTTTCATGATTTTCATCAGAATCATCTTCATATTCATTATTGTTGATAAAATTAATGTCGTCAGTGTAATTGTGAACTTTATCTGGGTTAATTTGAGATTGAAATTCTAAAAAACTTTTAGAAAATACAGTATATTCAATGCGTAGTGCATCTTGATTAATCTGAGGAATCCATATTTTCAAAGAATTAAACATATCGTCAGGACATGGTTTTCCTTGATTGGCATTCATTAATCTATCATGTGTTAAAAAAGACAAGTCTTTAAGAATATCGTTTGATTTTTCAAATCGTGTTGTTATTGACATTATTATTTTATCAATGACTAGAAAATATACTTTAGATTTGAAATTATCTACTGGATTTGAAATTATTTCATCTTCAGAGATTTCATCAAACATTCTTTTTCGTTTTCTAAGCCTTATTTCAGGAAGTTGTGTTTCGTCAAGTTCATTATCGATTGCAAATTGTTTAGCATTTTGTAATACTTCATGTGCTCCTTCAGTTGTTCGTAAGTTAGTTAGTTGCTGTTTTACAGAATCGACCATGACTAAGGCTTGCATAAAATCAATCGCTGGAGATTGGAGGTATTTAGATAATGGTGTTGTAATCTCAAAAATTGTTTTCGTTAAAAACATTATCGACACAAATGAGAAAGATGTAATATTTTTGAATAAAGTGGTTGCTAATGAGCCTGTTGATCGGTCGCTTATATTTGAGAGGTCTTCTAATGTATTCAAAATGGCTTTGTACTTTTCAAAAACCACTTCTATTACCCTATGATGTGATGTCCATCGAGTGGTAGAAAAGTTTTTCATTCGACGAGCACGCTCATGTGGGTATAATTTTTTTTGGTGTTCCATAAATAATGCTGTTCTTTTACGTGCTGCCATAAACTCTTTTAATGATTGAATATAACCAAAAAAGTTTCTAGTTTCTGTACAAGAATCACATGTGTCAACAATTGTTAAATTCAGAGTATGAGCAAAGCACCATATATATACTGCTCGAGGATTGTGCTCTTGAATTAATGTTCTAAGTCCTGAGTATTGCCCTTGCATAACAGCAGCACCATCGTACGATTGAGCACATAATTGATTTTTCCAGTCCAAGCCATATTTTTCACAAATATCACAAAATAAGTTAAACATTCCTTTTCCAGTTGAGTCAGTTGCTATTTTTAAAGCAACTAACCTCTCTTCTACCATCCCTTGATCATTAACAAAACGCAATACTAATGAAAATTGTTCCAAGTTGGATATATCGGTGGTTGTATCTATCATAATAGAAAATACTTGAGCACTTTTAACACTTTTTAAAATTTTTGAACGAATTAGCTCACCAAGAATACAAATCATTGTATTTTGACTTACATTCGATAAAAATGTCAGACGATTGTGGTTTTTTGAATCTTCAATTTTTCTAAGATGACATGAGAGCAACGCATGGTGTTTTGACAATAGTTTTAACATCTCTAGAAAATTTCCCTTATTTAAAGAAGTTAAACTCTCATCATGCCCTCGAAATGATATATTTTGCCGAGCAAGATAAATAATAGTTTCAAATATAATTTTAACAACTTCTCTGTTTTCGGCAACATAAGCGTTAGATGATTCTAAAATCAGTCCAACGTCTACCCGTTGATTTGAATTATACATAGATTTTCTTAAAACCGCTTGTAAATGATCAGATGACGTTTCATGGCATAAAATTCTTCTAGAAATATGTTTCCAATCATTTATTCCATCTTTAGCTAAAGGATTTTTCTTAGCTGTTGATGTTCCAAATAGTTTACATGCAATACAATACACTTTATCAACGGATGGAGAATATGACATCCACATACGTTTAACCAGTGATCCATCTTGAAGTTTCTTGAAGTAGTGCTCATCATGAAATGATCTCAGTCTTTCTCCTTGCATTCTTTTTGGGAATTGTTTTCCTGGTAAACTAGATTGTAAAGGTTGACAAGGCCCAAGTGAATTAATAAATGAAAACTGTTCATCAGAAATATTTGATGTAGGAATTAAAGCTGGATCATTTGGATAACTTTCAAATATAGTAGAAATATTATTAAGATAACTCTCTACGTTTGAACCACTTATATTTTCAGTTGTAGAGCTAACACTGGAAACTTCAATTATATCTATAATAAAAACCTTGATTAAGTAAAATGAATATAAAATAAAATATTTGATTAGTTAAATACCTTTAGATACAACACAATTAGTGCACAACTTGTCCAGATTTTCATTCACCAAATTAGAATCAATAACATCATCATCGGGTATTGAGTCAAATATACATTGTTCACTATCAGTATTATCTAAAATAGATGTTTCAATTAAAAAAATACAAATTTCATTTGGAAATTAAAAATAAAACTAGCCAATTTAAATTGTTTTAAATAGATTATTTAATTATTACCTTTTGGTTCAACAGAATTAGTGTAAGACGTGGCTTGAATTTCAGTCAACAAATTAGAATTAATAACATCATCATCGGGTATTGAGTCAAATATACATTGTTCACTACCAGTATTATCTAAAATAGATGTTTCAATTAAAAAAATACAAATTTCATTTGGAAATTAAAAATAAAACTAGCCAATTTAAATTGTTTTAAATAGATTATTTAATTATTACCTTTTGGTTC